TTACTAATTAGTACTTTTTGAATACCACAATATAAAATAAGAATAGAATTTTGATGATGTATATGTAAGCAACTAGATAGCGGTGTAACGTAACTTTYAACAGATTTCTGATAAGAACAATTGGTGATCACAAAATAATGACTCGTTGTGCAACCATTCTATCTTAAGCCGTGGTCGTAACGCACTACGAACACGAACAACGGTTTACGGCGAACGACACGTCTACTCTTACGACGACCACGGTGGTTACAAACGCACACTACAACTRCGTTCTTCAATCCGAAATCCCACTTCTGATATGTTAAAAGTTACCTTGTTTAATAAACAACAACCATCTAATTATCACTCAATGTATTTATTAACAATCACTAACAGCTCGGATCCTCACACACCGTGCAGACCTCCGCTTACTAGTACCTAGTCGTCGCATAAAACTACTACCACAGACTATATATAGTCTGTGCTACTACTAAAAGCTAAAACTAACCTACAGTGGGAGAGCACACACACACTGTCATCGGTGACTCCCACCCATGCCCAGATGTTATCACTTGGAACCTTATTTAAATTTTTATTCCTCAGTTATAAGGTTATAACATTAAAACGTTTTATAAATTTTTAACAACTTATTTATTATATATTATTCTTAATTTTTTTTTCTGTTTTTCCCGATGCTTCTGAAATCTAGTGGTAATTACCTCCTCAATACACCAACTAGATTCACTTTCCAACCGGAAAAGCTACTAAAGTTGAAAATCGAAGCACTATTTCGACAACTTATCGTGTACACATAAAAAAAACCACACARAATTGTAAAATCAATACATTCATCGCTCCGTTCAAAATCTAGAATTAAAAATTATTTACGAGTACAATTAATACAATAGTTTTTGTTCAATCTAATTATTTTTGAATATGCCTGTAACACATGTATTATAGTGATTATACCTATTTTATCACGGCCTTTTAGCCCTACTATRCATATAAGGTACTTGCAGAAACGACGAACGAATTTTTTCACTTTGAGTGTTAATGGTATTAGTATATTTACTGCAGATWGGCAAATGACACTCCGATAGGGAGACGTAGAGGGTGCCTCGTCATTGAAGAATGCAWAAATGTAAATGTTAAATTTGAATTTAATGATGAATCATTGCATAGGTTAAAAAACGATTCTAAGCAATGAGGCCTATTTGGATAAATTATTTTTCTATTATAATTATTATGGGAGGTTGAATTAATTTTTCGCCAAAAACATTGCATTTGTTAATGTCATTATGTGT